ACAATTATTCCTTTGCTGTCTTTTTGGTGGCTAATGATCTATAATCTCACAACAGCAGTGGTTCTCAACCTGAGGTTTAATTAAGGTCAATGACCCATAGTCAAGAGACACAAAAATAATTGCTATTAATAATTGCTTGCTATAAATGGATAAAACTATGCTGTAATAGTAAAAAATGCAGATGGGACAAAACTACTACATGTATACACTCACTGATTGATTCATGAGGTACATCTTGCTAGTACCAGGTTGGACCTCCTTCTGCCTTCAGAGATGCTTGAAGTCTTTGTGACATAGATTCTACAAAGTCATGAAACCAATTTGAGATAATCTAAGATTTGTGACATGGTGTGTTATCCTGCTGGAAGCAGATGGTACACCGTGGTTATAACGTTATAAAGAACATGGTGTTGCTGTATTGTTGCTCTTTACTGTAGATAAATGTAGGTTATAGGTTATCCAATGCTCATTTAGTACTGAAGAGGTCCAAAATGTTCCAAGAAAACATCCCCCACCCCATTACACCAACAACAACCTGAACCACTAATACAAGGCAGGATGGATTCGTGCTTTCATGTTGTTTACGTCCTTGACCCCCTGCCTTCAGATCTTATTAAAATATGCATGAGGGTCAATTTAAGATTAGGAAGAAACCATGTCAGTTAGTGGAGAAGATTGAGATCGCTCTCATACAGTAAATAGGAAACTATAGGCCACTGCTTAGCTTAACATGTGACTGGAAATGGTGAAACAGCTAGCCTTAATGTTTGCACAGCAGCACCTGTAAAGTTCACAAACTATTACATTGTGTATATGTATTAAACATACAAGTTACAGAGTGTAAAAACAACCAGTAGTAGTTTCAGGGGTACTCTTCTTGGTCAGGTTTGTTAGTTTTAAAGGTGCAGGTAGGTGAGCTTTCTTATCTTTAGACCAAACTTCTTGACTGTATTGCAAGAAACCAATATTTCTTTAATACATACATACCAAAGCACACAGCACTGTGTCATTATTTCACCAGACACCATCACCGTCGTATATTCTGCAAATTATTACCTACCCCCCAGATATTAGTTTGATGCATACTTCCCTGCTTAAAAGGCCCGAAACACTCACAAAAAAATACCACCCCCCACTTTCTTAGGTATTGTACTTTAGCTGTGCTAATTTGCTAACAAATGCACCATTAATCAAATCACCCAAACTAATTAACATTCAATGAACCAGGGAATTTCCGAGTCCCTTGGGGTCAAGGTAATCCAGGCTTGGTTTTATATGTAATAATGCATCTTCCCTCATAAGCAAACACTGCACATTCTACAGTCAGCAAGTCTGCTTTCAGTTAATGAAGTATTTTAAATGCACATCACAGTAAAAAGGTTCAGGGTTGAATCGGCTCTTCCAGTGAGGTTTTTGTGACACTTTGGGGCAGTTTGTGACTGTATGGCTTCCCTCCGTTTGTCCAGTTTTCTTTCACCACCTGTAAAAGTGGCCGCAGGTTTGTTGATGGGCGTGCCACGCCTCTCGCTCATTGTAGGCTAGGACAGGCTGGATGAAGGGGTGCCATCAAATGTACCTGCTACTTGGAAAAGTCTTTCAGAAGATGTAATTATAACCTTTAACTCTTCAGCGCAGCTAATTTTGATTCTACCGGAGTAATGTTTAAGTGTTTTGACCTCATTATTAGTGCCCTCTCCTCCTCCTAATCAAAGCTGCAGTTTGTAAAATTTCTTCAAGGATAAACAGGACTTCACTCAGACTACAAAAACCTGATGTTGCTATGCAGACCATTTTTTTTCTTTCTTTTTGTCTAGGTTTATAGATTTCTCAACCCTTCACTTCCATCTTAATGCAGTCTGCAGCTTGTAGCGCTCACAGCGGTTATAAACTGCCTTTTCTTCTGGTTACAGTGAACACTGTCACTGTAGTCTGTGGATTACCCACCAAGACAATGTTGCTCGAAAGACAGGCTACCGTTGAATTATTTAGATGTAATTCTTTTCTACATTGTGGGCAGGGCACATGAAGTTCCATTTGTATCCGTTTTGCTGCAGGAGATGCATAAAAATCCCAAATAATCCCCTCAAACCGGGAAGCTTAAATGAGTTTATTGTGATCACATGCAGTGTTGTAATGTGGG